ACCAACTTTTTCTGAAAGATTTGGGGACGACGAATTAATGCACCTATACACAAAAAATACAAGACTCAGGATCTCTTTTTTTCGACTTTCCCTGTGTTTTCAAGGTACAAATTTCGTAAAAAAATACGGCACAAAAATTATTATATTGTTATTTGAAAGCTGAATATTTCCAAAACGGTAAGCTGAATTCACAAAGTTTTTAAATCTTATTTATAGCTGCATTTTCTTAGTTTTTCAGAATGCAGAGATCATTTTAACCAACTGTAATTTATGTGAAAAATAGCAGCAGTACCTGTGGAAAAAGTTTTAAAAAAATTCCAGTTTTCAAAAATTCTTAAAAAAAAGTTCTGGAATAGAAAATAAACCATAATTCTTTAAAAAAAATCTAGCAGAAAAAGTTGGTTTGGTTCCTTGAGAAAAAAAGTTCGATTTTGTCGAGTAGTGTAATCTGGCATATCCGCAAACTAACCACAATCAGAGGCGCGTCCCAATGCTTTTGGTAATGCTTTAAAAAATATTTAAAAATCTTTGAGGCTCCCCTCTTATCTATTATCCGCTTCTCTTTTGTAGTCATTGCTCTCCCGAAAAATAAAAGACAAAATTATGTATATATATTCAAATATCATGCACGCCTTAAGCTGATTTTCTACGCTGGTAAGCGGTAAGCTCTATAGAATTCTTTAATTTTAAACCCAAACCCCGTCTCATTATCCTTTTGACATCTGCATAGGTTTCACAAGCAAATCGACTTATTCCCCATGAATTTTAATTTGCAAGCAGATTTTCGTCACGACGCCGTTTTGGGGCTTTGTTCTGCAAGGAATTAATAAATATCTACACAACGAAAGGCATTTGTACACTGAAAGGGTTCATTCCGATGAGGGGGAAGAATTTTCTTTATTCCCACTTAGTCTCAGCTTAAGCTGAGGAACAGTGGACAGATAATATGTTTAAATAATCGTATGGAAAGAGTGTTAATAGAGGTATCACCATATATAAATCGTGAACCGGCAGAGGTACATAAGTGATGCCTTAAGATTTAGGCTGCAAATTGCACGTATCCAAAAATAAATGTTTTTCATACCATTCATAAAAATTCAATCCATATACGGCTCGTTACTGATTAAAAAATGCTGCGTGACTAGACAAATTATTAAAAAACAGTGGTCCTTCGACCTGAAACCAAAAATATATCGACCTCATCACCCTGTGCAATGAAAATCCAAATACAGAACCTCAAAAGTGTCAGCATGTCTTCGTTGATGAGTTTATACTCGTATGTCGTCAAAATACGAGTATACACAATCCGGTCTTTACTTTCTTTGCAACTTTAAGTTATTTCAGTTAAACTTAGAGGAAAGTGTTTTCTTTATTAAAGAATTGTGATTAATTTTCTTGTTCTTATTCGGAGTATTCTTGACTTGCATTGTCGTCTAAAGCATGAGGATAACACACAAACCTGGAAGCTGACTTGTGAATTTTCGGTGGAAAAGAAGAGAGCACAGAAGCTTTTTAAGAGTACGAGTATATCCGAAGGCAACGGCTGAAATTAAGTTGTTATTATGATTTCAATAATCAGCTTAGGCTATAAATTGTATCCTGTTTGGATAATTTATTTACCTGCAAATTAAAGTATACTTCAAACTTAATTAATAAAACTCTTGCTTAGTAAACACTAAAAAAGAAATTTTATTATTTACACTTTTAACACCACCAGAAAACATTAAAAAACCGATAATATCTACAAAATTCTCAATTTTAATTGAATTCATAATAACACCCATAGCAATGGCAATAATAACGATAATATAAAGTATCCGAACACCCATTCAAGCGTTAACAATAAATCTATTTTTTAATCATTTATGGGGGGTATGCAAATACATAGCACATGCATGTGGAATAAATAACTCAATAAATGCATCAGAAATGATTGTATAATAAAAATGGAAACTAATAAAATTAAAGCGATTTTATCGCGACAAATAAACCAAATGCCTGTGATGGTGTCGCGCATGTGCACACAGAAAAAAACCTTGACATCTAATCATATTAAACTTAATGTTAACTGCGATAAGGAACAAAACATTGCATAATCATAATCAACCGCAATAGGAAAAATCTATTACAAACAGTACGAATATCAGCCAAATCAGAACACAGCTCAATTCCAACGGAAGTAGGGGTGCAAAAATATCAAAATATGTATTGCTGGTCATTTCCATCTGCTCTTCTGTCTTTCTGCCCGTCGCCTGTTCAGCTTTCTGTCTTCCTCCCGCACAATCAAGCGCCATCTTGTTTTGCTGATTACACTCCTCGACACGATTTTTCCTCAAGGAACAAAACCAACTTTTTCTTAAAGATTTGGGGCTTAGAAATGGTTTGATGATATTTTTTTTTCTACGGCAGAACTTTTTTTTAAAGAATTTTTGAAAACTGGTATTTTTTTTAAAGCTTTTTTCAGAGGTATCGCTTGTTTTTTCACATAACTCTAGTATCTTACGTCTGGTTGTTAAGAACTTTGCTATTTTGAAAAGATAATTAAAACAGCTAGAAGTTAAGCCCAAGTACTTTGTGATTTCAGCTTACCGTCCGGTATTTTTTACCAAATTCTCCAAAAAAAAAAGTTCTGCCATAGAAAAAAAAGGCATTTGTACACTGAAAGGGTTCATTCCGATGAGGGGGAAGAATTTCCTTTATTCCCACTTAATCTCAGCTTAAGCTGAGGAACAGTGGACAGATAATATGTTTAAATAATCGTATGGAAAGAGTGTTAATAGAGGTATCACCATATATAAATCGTGAACCGGCAGAGGTACATAAGTGATGCCTTAAGATTTAGGCTGCAAAATGCACGTATCCAAAAATAAATGTTTTTCATACCATTCATAAAAATTCAATCCATATACGGCTCGTTACTGATTAAAAAATGCTGCGTGACTAGAAAAATTATTAAAAAACAGTGGTCCTTCGACCTGAAACCAAAAATATATCGACCTCATCACCCTGTGTACAATGAAAATCCAAATACAGAACCTCAAAAGTGTCAGCATGTCTTCGTTGATGAGTTTATACTCGTTTGTACACAGGGTGATGAGGTCGATATATTTTTGGTTTCAGGTCGAAGGACCACTGTTTTTTAAAGAATTTTTGAAAACTGGTATTTTTTTTAAAGCTTTTTTCAGAGGTATCGCTTGTTTTTTCACATAACTCTAGTATCTTACGTCTGGTTGTAAAGAACTTTGCTATTTTGAAAAGATAATTAAAACAGCTAGAAGTTAAGCCCAAATACTTTGTGATTTCAGCTTACCGTCCGGTATTTTTTACCAAATTCTCCAAAAAAAAAAGTTCTGCCATAGAAAAAAAACCATAATTCTTTAAAAAAATTTAAAGCCCCATATCTATCAGAAAAAGTCGGTTTGGATCCTTGAAGAAAAAAAAAAAAAGTTCGATTTTGTCGAGTAGTGTTAGCTGTCACGAAGCTGTGACGAAAAGAACAAATGAATTATTATCGCGTTGCGTTCCTTATTTTGACATAGATTTAAATTATTTGTAACAAAATCAACGAATCGTGTCTGCCTCTCGCCCTTGGCGGAATCACTTCTCCTTCAGTTCCCTCACGACCCGTCGGATTGTTCCTGATTTGAGTATTGCGAAAAATACAGGCTATACTCTTTAAAGGATATATTTTTTATACCCGTACTCGAAGAGTTAAGGAGTACGTATATTAGATTTGTGGTAAAAGTGGACGTGTGTAACACAAAGGACGAAATGTTTCCGACCCCATAAAGTATACACATATATTCATGATCAGCAACAATGTCTGTCCGTCCGTCCGATCGATGAGCGTATATAGTTCATCGTTCCACTGAATGGCCATTTTTATACCCGTACTCAAAAAAGAGTTAAGGGGTATATTAGATTTGTGGTAAAAGTGGATGTGTGCAACGCAGAGAAGGAAACGTTTCCGACCCCATAAAGTATATATATTCTTGATCAGCATCAATAGCCGAGTCGATATAGCCATGTCCGTCTGTCCGGCCGTCTGTCCGTCCGTCTGTCCGTCCGTCCGTCCGTCTGTCCGTCTCGATGAGCGCCTGGATTTCAGAGACTATAGGAGCCAGAGAAACCAAATTTGGTTTCCAGACTCATGTGATATAACACTGCTACAAGTGTATTTCAAAATTTCGCCCCGCCCCCTTCCGCACCCACAAAGGACGAAAATCTGTGGCAGGCACATTTTTAAAGATAGGGAATGCCCACTCTGCCACGTTTAGTGCGCGAGCAACCCCTAGCGGAGATGATGTAGAATATACATTGTAGATGTAGATAACAGATGTAGCAAAAAAATGTTAAATGTAAAATTTTTTTTACACGTCACTGGGCTCTGTTTATGTCTTTTTGAGGGACATTGGGTAATTTTTGTTAAATAACTTTTCCCACGGACATCAAAAGCATGGAAAACTGCGCTTGAATGTCAACAACATAGGGCCCATTTTTAGCTTTCTCTATTTTTCTCTTGGCGGGTTCTCCCTTTTGTTTGCCTTTTACCTCAAGCTTTTTACAAGCTTTAATGTTTTTCACTTGTGGCATTAATTTCTGCTGTGTAAGCAGATAAATTGCAAAATGTCGAAAGATATTGACAGTCACTGGCATCAATAAGGACACCAAGTCGTTCACCGCAACCTGACTCCATTGATGTCATGTTGAGAAGTCCATCAAGTGGCAAAGTAGGTTTGAAAACATTATGAATGGAGTTGGGTCCTCAATACGCAAGATGTTTGCAAAATTATCGATTCAATCAACTGTTTACAATAATAGTAAATGCCTCAAGAGGCTAAGGGACCTGGTTTCACTACAAACCGTTGAAGGTTCAGGATGCGTTTGTTGGGTGGCAATACAATGTTAAAAAATACAATTAATCTGAGAAAACGCACTTGTTGGACATTTATTTTAATCTAAATTTTCCTTTCCTTTTACATCGTGTTTTATACAGTTCTTTATGTAGTTTGAGTAGACTTTTGATTATACTCGTTACACTCGTTTTGTGAAAAATTATCAAATTTCTCTGCTGTCACGCTATTAGAAACACCATCGGTATTTTTTTTAGTGGACAAACGCCAGTTAAGCAGGCTGGACTCTGATTGAAAAGCGTTCGCAACACTAATACTGTCGTGCATGTTCCAAATGCATTTTGCAAATATATTGGAGACATCAATGATGTGAAACTTCGGATTGTTGGCGATTTCCGTGGGCTGGGGAATGGTATTTGTGCAGACAACAAGCTCAAATAACGATTCACTGAGCTTCTGTGGGGCCTGTCCCGAAAATACGCCATGAGTAATGATTGCGTAGATTTTCGATGCTCCGGCATCCTTCAAACGCTCAGCGGCTATGCATAGGGTATTACTTGTGTCTGCTAGATCATCCACAACCACAACGACCTTGCCGCGAACGTTGCCAACAAGTATCATGTCATGCACCTCGCTTGCCACCCGTCTCTGCTTATGGAACAGAGCCACGTGAGTGCCCAGGTTGTGGCTAATATGGGTGGCCGTTTTTACTGCTCCTTTGTCTGCGCCCACAATCACCAGCTCCGTATAGTCTGGGATAAATCGTTTTATCCATGATTCGATGGCAATATCGGATTGTAGATTGTCGCAAGGTATATCAAAAAATCCCTGCAGCTGATGGGTGTGCAGTTGCATGGTGAGGACACGATTGACCCCAGCTACAGAGAGCATATTTGCCACTAGCTTGGCCGTAATGGGCTGCTTCCACGAATCCATTTTATCTTGCCTAGAGTATGGAAACAATGGCATAACTGCCGTAATCGTGTTGGCCGATGCATAGCGACACGTCTGCACCATAACCAGAAGCTCCATCAGCATGTCGTTAATCGGCTCGCAGCTGGTCTGAACTATGTAGACATCTGCTCCCCGCACCGACTCGAGCAGCTCGAACCGTATTTCTCCATTGGGAAATTTCGCTCGCAACACTGGATGCAAGTGGAGCCCCAAGCTCTCGGCCACCACCTCGGCAAAGTCGCAATGCGATGAGCCCGATACCACCACAAGGCGGTGCATTAAATTAACAGGAGTTAAAAGTACGAGTAAATAAATTTTGATGAAACAAGAAATTTTGAAGTTTTGCAACCAAAGTGGAAAGCTAAGCCCCCGCTTGCTTAAACGCAATCGCTAATGTGAGAAGTTCCGTTTTCCCTCGGCGTTTGAGATAATTAATCGAACTTTGTATGACCGCGGCTCATCACATTACTAACTCCCCTTGTGGGCTGAGCCGCAACAATTATGCACATTTTAATGCCCTGAGGCTGCTCAAGATTCGGTGTTGCGCTGATTAAATAGGGAACGATGAAAGATGGAGCTACACATGACCAGTGTGCCCCCAAATGAGATTAAAAGATAGATAGATAGATAGATAGATAGATAGATAGATATCTATTATATACACATTGTTGAAATTGTAAGATCATATGTATAATAAAATTGTTCAGGTTTTCTCCAGTTGAGCATGCCAAGACTTATATGTAGTTAGGATCTCTGCGCTATTATAAATTGTATTTCAAATTCAAAGTTCCTTTTTAGCACGTCCAAAATATTATGATTCGCGTTGCCTATGAAGGAATTCTTGCAATTAAGGCATTGCATTACATGATCCGATCATGGATATTAGAGCTAGTGCCATATTTAATTATGTCATATTACTGCATGGATGTGTTGGCTACGCTACTGAATTATCGACTTGTGAGCACCGAAAAGGCTGTAGTTCTAGACGTCAAGGACGTGTTTGGCTACATCTATACGTCATTTGATACTCTACTGACTTCAGCAGCCGTTGCACTGATATCGGTTCAACTCAAAGAAGAGACTGGTATAATAATCCTGCTAGTAGGGAGAGTGATTCACCGATTGCTCTTCTCTATGTGGACTCATTTGTATCAGTTTATCCTTAACGACTGCCTCGATGTGGGCTCTCTACTGAGTCTTCTGGCCACAAGAGTTTATCTACGAGACAGGAACGAATGGCCAAGGTTGAATCTCAAAAAGTTCGAGTTCCTATTATTAGCGGGTAGAATAAGCCTATCCAGTATCTATATATCGTGGCTGGAGGAGAGAATCGATGTAAGTTTGGCTTCAATCGGAATTTTTACAATAGCGCTATTTGTGACATTTCGTTTCAGACCATGGATAACGTCCTATCACTTGCTCTTTTAAGTGCAATGGTTTTTGGGATCAAATGCAGAGTTGCCTCCTACACGACTGTTTTAGCAATACTCTATCATGACGTGCTAGGCACACAGTTTTGGTTCCTGTGGGGCTGGAATGATGCGCTATTGTCATTGCAGTACACGAGCTTACTGTTGTCTAAAATTGGTGGATTCCTGGTCTTCTCACAGCTGGGTGCCGGCAAATGGTCGCTCGGTACGTACCTGTCCAGAACTGTAAGAAAGGAGCGGATGGGAAACTACCGCCACATCTAGACCTCGCCTCTGGCTTGTAAATGTTTTCCATCGGATTAAGACGTGAAAGTCATTAGGTCTTACGGAGACCTATTCCTGCTGTAGTTCTTAATTTTTATTCTTTTTTCTCTCCCGGTGGTACTAGAAAGTTTCAGGGATTTACATAAATTTTGATGGAAAACACTTTCTCTTCGGCTAATGTTTATTTTTATTTCTATCTCTATTTGTACACCTGGCCCTCAATGTGGCAGAGGCGGTGTGCCCACTTCAAGGATTCTTAGATTCGTGCTTCCTCGGCGTAAATTATTTAAAAGTCTCGAGTTGTGATTAAGCACCTTTACCCAGCATTTGATCCCCCGCCCTCTGTTTACCACTACTCTGAACAGGAAATTGAAACTAGCGTGGAGATGTTATGCCGTTAAACTCTGGAATAAAAACAAGAAGAAAAAGCAGCCAGAAGGTGTGAATAAACTAAAACTTGGCTATAACGAAACTTAAATGCCCTAATATGGAATTCCATCAAAATCCCTATTCTGATATTACGTATCATCATGATATACTTTCCTGCCAAAACTTTTCTTTCCATTATTAAATTTTATTTTATCTCATTATTTTACCTTACCTTATTTTACTTTAAGTCGGCACTTGTATTTAATTTTGTTGTATACCCTATACAAAAAAAATAAAATACAAGTGCCGACTTTAAAGGCAACACTGTCGTTAATGAGTTCTGGGTAGGGACGGACAGAGGACCCGCAGAAGGAGAGTCGCGAGATACCAGAACGGCGTTTAAGAACCGCAAGGGACGCAGTGACCTTCGCTCTTGACTTAAAACCCATTTGCATAAGCGAGGGGAAAACGGGCTGGGCTCCTACGCCCAGTAGGATGGTACTGTCTCCAACGACGGCCACGACATGTGGGCTGGTTTGGCTTGGTTTCTTGAGTGCTGACCGTCGAAGCGTTGCGACGTGGCCCGTCAGGGATGACGAAAGCCACCGTATCACATTGCGCTACCTTCCAGATGTAGCACAGAGATGTGCATTTTTGTTTTTCTAGCGTTTCTCTTAATTGAAAAGCATTTGCGATCCCGTTACATTGACACAAACGTTGAAAGTAATTGAGAGAGCGCCAAGCAAGTACTTTTGAGGCCAAGGCAAGATGGCAAGACAAGACTCAGATAATTTTAAGTATTTTAAGTGCAAAGGCTGAAAGATGCAGCAAGTTCACTTTGGCGTGTTTAGTTGCATTGTTTTAAGAGCATTGAAGAGTAGATAAATACAATTGTTTTCATAAAACCAAAACGATAGACGTTTAGTCCAATGGAGTTGGATGTTTCCTAATGCCTTCTATTTCGATACAAACTTCTCACCAATTTGACCAAATTTAACCAATTCTAACCAAATACCCTCTCTCAGGTTATCAACGACATGGAAACATTCAAGATGTTTTGGGTAAGAGAACACCTAGACATAGGTAGTTCTCAAGAAACTTGCACACGCAGATGGTGCCCTCTTGCAGAGGGCGCATAGGAATGTGGTGTGTGTGTGCGGCTTGTTAGTAAAGTGAACAATGAACACCAAACAGTGACTCAACCCAGTATTTTCTCAAGTAAACTAAGCTCTAGTATGTTAATATCCACTGTAGGCATATGCTGCTGCAAATCATTCACGCCCTCATACTGTCTTGAGCTCAGCTCTTTAACCAAACCAAAAGTCAAGGCATTTACGTTTACTTACTTTGAGTTTAGTTTGACCTGAAGCTGCTACTTAGATACGAGTGCAAACGAATAAAACATTTATCAGTAACATAAACTTAGCCAAACGTACATACATATACATATATGTATAACTAATTTGTCCAGCCTGTTCAAATTCGAGTAGGAGTCCGAGTATCATTTCCCAGGTGAAATACAACTGGAAAATCTTTCTGGATATATTAAGCTAAATCCTTTCTCTCGTGTTTTAGTTCATTGAATACTTGTAATTAAATTGGTAAAACTTCCTTGTACTGAATAGCGGAGGCCAATAATTGCTCCTTAAATAAAAACTGTTTATAAGATTAACATAATTGTAAATATAATTTAATGATCAAATTTTGTCAACAAAGTTATACCGTATATATATATCGTATATATGTATGTATATACGATAACCAACCTTGAATTCTCAAAAAGAAATGTGCCACTAATTAAAAGTAAAGAAATGCCCAATAAAATATCACTAGCTAATGGTTCTTCCAGTTTCAATATTTCCATAGAACTGCTTTAACGGAACTAGTTCCCAAAACATAACTTAAGAAAATTGAGTGAAGAGATTTTGAAAAGATTATAGAGAAAGTTTCTACGGAGCCCATGATTTACAAGTTTGAGTATTTGCGCCCTTCGACTAATTCCTCAGATTCTATACGCAAGTGGTTTTATGTAGATGCGGCTGGTAAATTTCCCTTCAAGACTGATTCACACGTACGGTATTCATTTGGGACCATCATCATCTTGGCCTCAGCGACATCGTCGCAAGCGGTTTTACGACTACATTCGAACACTTACGCACACGCACACTGAGAGATAGAGCGACAGAGCGAGAGACAGCTAACAGGTTAAGTGCGACCAGAGTTTTGAACGTGTGCAAATGGCAGAGATAGAGACAATAAAGCTTAGAGATGCGGCGACGAGGCATGGGATGGTCTCTCTCATTTCAGTTCAGTTTTATCCTTTCTTTTTGTTTCCTTTTAAGAATTTTCCAATAAGCCCCACTGCTGGCTTATTTTTGTGACGCGACATTAAATGGCTTTTCGCTTTATAAAAAGTCGTTTGGAATGCTCATATTTCTCATATTTCTCGTTTCTTTTTTCGTAATACAAAGTCATTTTCGATTTTCACCAATTCAATAATAATGCCAGTTTGCTAGGTTATTAAAATTTCGCACAAACATTCATGCTGACTTTGACTTCTGTGGAGTTTTTCTTTCATTGGGTGGCTGTTTTCGTTTTCTGTACTTTTTTTTAGGCACCAAAATGTCAGCGACACGTTTCCACCAACGACAATTTATCATAAATATGCATGGGCACATACATATGTACGTATGTACATATGGGCATATCGTCGTACGTAAATGTGCGGCATATAAATCCAGGTCTTGTGTGGAGCTGCCTGCCGGCCTTATGGAGAAAGCTGGGTAGCTTGTAGCTTGCGCGGCTCACCTCTTGTTTATGCCGCTGTCAGCGGTCGTTTAATTCAACATTAACGCCTAGCAGTAGTCCGATAGGTGAGCTGAGCGCCACTTGCCACTGTTGCGACGTCATCGTCGAGCCTGAACCTTTGTGTGCCTGCGGCCATTTGCACACGCTTTTCCAGGTCGTTCTTCTGCTGTTTAGCGTGGTTTTTTTCAAATTGTCAAACTGTCAAATAAATTACACCGGAAAACGTACAAAAGATCTGACACAGTTGGGCTTTCTCGGTGGAGCTCAACTTTTGTGTGGCACATGCATAGACACATTAGCAAATTATGCAGATAGTCTTTGTGTGGTCGGCTTCGGTTTTCGTTTGACACTCAAAAATGAGTTTTTAAATATTTAGACTTTTTGTTGTAGAGCCAATAAAAATATCATGAGAAAACTAACCATAACATATGTGCACATAGAATCTACAGTTTTAAATTTTTTTTTAAATATGTGATTCGGATAGTTACTGCACGCTGTCTGCAGCTTGACCCACATAATTACACTACTCGACACGATTTTTCCTCAAGGAACAAAACCAAATTTTTCTTAAAGATTTGGGGCTTAGAAATGGTTTGATGATATTTTTTTTATACCCGTACTCAAAAAAGAGTTAAGGGGTATATTAGATTTGTGGTAAAAGTGGATGTGTGTAACGCAGAGAAGGAAACGTTTCCGACCCCATAAAGTATATATATTCTTGATCAGCATCAATAGCCGAGTCGATATAGCCATGTCTGTCTGTCCGTCTGTCTGTCCGTCTGTCTGTCTGTCTGTCTGTCTGTCTGTCTGTCTGTCCGTCTTGTTGAGCGCCTAGATCTCAGAGGCTATAAGAGCTAGGGCAACGAAATTTGGTTTCCAGACTCATGTGATATCACACTGCTACAAGTGTATTTCAAAATTTCGCCCCGCCCCCTTCCGCCCACACAAAGAACGAAAATCTGTGGCAGGCACATTTTTAAAGATACGATAAAACTAAAAACGCATTATCGTAGAGAATGCCCATATCTACCAGACTGCCGAATCTGAATCAGATCGGATCATAATTATAGCCAGAATGAAGAAATTAATTTTCAGTCGCTTCCCCTGCCCCCTCCTGACAACGACAACGCAAGTCATTTTCCTTCTCGCTCGCACACTCTGCCGCGTTCAGTGCGCGAGCAACCCCTAGCGGAGGAGATGTAGAATCTAAATGGTACATGTATAATCTACATGTTAGATGTAGAATATACATAATATATGTAGATGTACCGGTATAAGTAGAGTCGCGTCCCCAGAAGCGACTCGCACGTTCCTTCTCGTTTTTTTCTTGTTTTTTTCAATAACTCTAGTATCTTACGTCTGGTTGCTATTTTGAAAAGATAATTAAAACAGCTAGAAGTTAAGCCCAAACACTTTGTGATTTCAGCTTACCGTCTGGGAAATATAAAGCATTGAAATGCAAAAATGATGATTTTTGTGCGGTATTTTTTACGAAATTTTGACTTTAAAAACTCAGGAAAAGTCGAAAAAAAATTATATCCTGTGTCCTCTATTTTTCGTGGCATTAATTTGGCGTCGTTTAAGGCATCGCTCATTAAAATCTATGGAGAGACTTTTTAAAAAATGAAAAAATTTAACAAAAGATACCTTTTGGAAGGTTGCGGGCCCAACAGCCAATTGGGAACGAAGCAAACGAAAAAGGGTTGTACATTTGGTACCTGATCGCGATCCGCACAACTATACTTACACACATATGTATGTATGCACTAGTACGAGTACATGGTCACAGGGTGATAAAAGAATGCGAGCGTTGTAGACTGTTCCAAAAGTGGAGCGGATTTTGGTATGGAAAAGTTTGTCTGGCAAAAGCCGCATAGCCTAGTTAAATAAAAGTGCTACAAGAGCTCAACCTGCTCACAAGCACTGGTCGGGATGCCTTAAACTCAAACTGTTACGCGGAGTTCGTCACAAAATTCTGCCGCCGCACTTTAATTGCATTTTCCCTGCAATATCAAATGTAGGCTGGGAATCGCAGTTGTAGGTTGCAGGGTCGCAGCGGCAGCAACAATTTTAACTACGCTCCATTTAAAGGGATTTTTTCACTTGAAAGAACTCAAAGTTATGGCGCCCCTTACTCCTTTCTAGTCTTTTCTGGCTCCTACCTTTTCAACATACTCTTACAGGTCCTAAAGGGCACGCAAAAGTAAATGGCAAAAGTTTAGCTTCCCCTATGCCAGCTTGGCATTTAAATATTTATTGTAATAAAAAGCAAAAGGAATCTACAAGTATTTGGTGGCTAGAGTCTATAAATATGATTTGAAGGTTGAGCCGTAACCGTACCACAGCCTCAGAGTATTTTTCCATCAGCAGAAATGCTTTATTAATTTTTACTTTTTTAACTAAAGTTATATAAGGTGG